ACAGTATCTGCAGAGGACAAGATGAAATGCTCACTATTAAACAAGACAGATGTCTGTTTCCATAAGACTACATCTGACAGGAGAAAAACTTTTTTACATGTCAGTCCATCACATTGTACTATTTCTAGATTGCTGAAGTCCATTAAATAAATAAAACCACATAATAAAACCTGAATAATTTTATTCTGAGAGCCTATAATGTTGACCATAAAGAAACCCCACCAAAACATTAGTTGCCAGTCACGGACCAAATGGGAACACAGATTTTTTGGAAAAAGGTGTGCAAGAGGATCAGGCTTTCAACTAACATGAGCTTCACAGTAAGGCAGTTGGATCAAATTTGATAATACAGGCCCATATAACAGCGATCAGCAAAAATGTCCTGAAAAAGACTGTCGTTAAGTTTTAGAAGTCAGGAAAAGTGACATAAAAAGAAACCTTCAGGTGGCGTGCACCTGGCTCCTTGTTCTAAATACAATGGTCTATTACCAGGGCTTCACAACTATATGAATGTGAAATACTGTTCCACACTGTATAAACATATCCTGCCCCATTTCCTAGGCAATATACGCAGGCATGCTAAACAGCAAGGTGAAAATTACATATATGCTTTATTACTAGTTCAAACACTCTGGCAAACAGTAAAAAAAAAACCTGCGTTATCAACAAAAAGGTTCTTTTTTAGACGAAAGAAGTTGTGACTTTTATGAGCTTATGATAATAGAACAGAATAATAACTATTATGCCATGAAAACAAAGACATTCTCCCAAATTTATGGTACCCGATTTCAGCTTCTCTCTGAAGTAAGAGGCTGAATTCCATAATTTTGTTTAGCTAGCAACTTTGTGAGTACTTCTGGGTAAATAACAAAGAAGAAAAGGCCTGAAATTATTATGAAGTTTAACAAGGGCAAGAGCCTAATTCTTCATCTGGGACAGGGCAACCCCAGTGGTAAGTACAGACTAGGGAATGAGTCGTCGGAGAGCAGCATCATGGAGAGGGACCTGGGGATCCTGGCTGATGGCAAACTGAATATGAGCCAGCAGTGTGCTCTAGCAGCCAGGAGGACCAACCACATCCTGGGGTGCATGAAGTAGAGCATTGACGGCTGGTCAAGGGAGGTGACTGTCCCATTCTACTCTGCACTGATACAGCCTCACCTTGAGTACTGCATGCAGTTTTGGGCACCACAACATAAAAAGGACATCAAGCTACTGAAGAGAGTCCAGAGGAGAGCCATGAAGATGGTGAAGGGTCTAGAAGGCATGACTTACGAGGAGCAGCTAAGGTCTCTTGGATTATTCAGAGTGGAGAAGAGTTAGGGTGATCTCACTGCAGTCTAAGACTTCCTCAAGAGGGGAAGAGATGAGGCAGGTGGGTGTTGGCCTGTTCTCCTAAGTGAATAATGATAGGAACAGAGAAAATAGCCTTAAGTTGCACCAACGGAAGTTTACACTAGGTATTAGGAAGAAATTCTTTACCAAAAAGATGTTCAGGAGCTGCAACAAGCTGCCCAGGGAAGTGGTGGAGTCACCATCCTCAGCATTATTAAGGACATGTGCAGAAGTGGCACTTCAGGACATGCTCCAGTGGGCATAGGGGTTTTTTTGTGGGTTGTGTGTTGCTGGTTTCACAGCGTTTGTAGTTGCATTTTTGTGCTTTTTATTTTTCATTCTTTTCCTTGGGTGGATGGTTGGACTCTAATCTTAAAAGGTCTTTTCCAACCACGACTATTCTGTGTGGAAAAAAAAATACTGTTTTAACAGAGGAATTAAACCAATGTAGTTCTGAAATTCATGCCAAATTTCTTCCTTCAGAGAAACTTGGTAATAATCCCTGTTCTGAATTGTAGAAAGAAAACTTAGTTTACAAGAACTCTGTACAAAACCTGGTAATCAATATCGGGACTGGAACTAGTGTATCCTTTCCCTAGCATCCTCAAAAACAAGCTAACCTTGCTCCAGGCTACTTAAATCAGAAGTATTGCTCCAAATGCAGTTAGAAAACAGCCATCACATTTCTATATCTCATTTATACTAAAACCTTGCAGAACAAGACTGATGCAGTGTTTTTGCTGACAGCTGAATGTATGCCTCAAAGCTGAGAAGCTGCTCTCTGTTAACAGAGAAACACCAACTACATCTCCAATAGTTCCAAGTCTGGAGTTCTCATCTAGTAAGAACGTAATTTAAATTGAAGACCCTTCTTAGGCATCACTTTGTGCTATACAGAACACATCACACCTTCAAACAGCATTTCTGAATTAAGTCTTGCTCCATTCCATTCCAAGGCAAGGAGGTCTTTTGACACTAAGTAGCAGCCATGTGAGCTTTCCAGCAGGAAAACCATCAAAACCGTAATTTAAGGATGCAGACAATTTGCACATCCATCATTAAGACCTTGAGGCTCACTTTTCTGTGCCTGCAGCAGCCTCTTAATTGGGAGAAGCATGTAACCCTTAGGCAACTTTAATAAGGAATGCTAAACACATGAACTCGCATCTGCAAGACAGAGATACATTTTGAACAGCTATCCCACTAACTGATCAAGTACCAGTACATCTTTCCACTCCTGGAACAACAGGTCAGGGAACAGCTGAGTAAAGGACTGTTTCAAAGCCTGAAGTCTTTACCTACAGAAAAGGCAGGCTTGATCTCTCCATCAACTAGTCTTCAGCTGAAGACAGCAGGGTGTGGCATTAGCCCAGTAAAGTTCCTTTGGCATGCCCAAGCACTTTTGGTACTCTACACAGTGAAGAGCAGCGATTGCTTTGAGGATTGGTCAAGTCCAGAAAAACTAAAAGCAGCGGTTTCAGTAGCCAAGGCTACCATGCTGAAGCAGGGCATTTGCCAGATTTAACCTCATGTCTTAAAAAAAAAAAGGCACGCTACCTGCTATGGGAAGATATATTAGTTATTCATACCCAAAGGGGCACAAAAGTCAGCCAGAGACTCGGCAATAAATATGCCAAAGGATTAGGGCTAAGCTTCAAGCAGTCTCTTAACTTGAATTGAGAAACAGCCTTGACAGAGGTATTATGTTTTGGCAGTCATGTTTTAAAAGTCAAACTCTTCAGGGCAGTATTGTTAATGTGAAAGCAAATTCCCGCAAAACAATGTGTGTAGCAGAGTCAGCAGAAAAGATTAACTGAAAAAGTCCCATTCTTTCAGTCTCAGAAGTAGAGCATCACCTCACTAGGCCCAAAGATGGACTTTTAATGCCTAAAGTTCTAAGTTGAGCACAAAATGACAGATGCTGTACAGAGCTGAACTGCAGCAAGTCTAGTTAGTAAAGGCTGGAGACTCCACAGACATGGAGTTTGACAACAAAATTGTTTAGACATGGTCTCAAAAGCCATCTGCAGCGTGAAGAGATGACAGAAAAAAGCATCCTCAAGATGGTGATTACTCTGTCATATCAGTATTGTCACTAATTGTATGTAAGTACAATACAGGTATGAGCACTGGTAACTAAAGTGCCAGCTGTGGGTAAATCAGCCCCACTGCACAGAAGACTAGATGGTCAAATTTAGGAGAAGAGATCCCTAACTTAATTCACTCTGCTCACCTTCAGCGGGTGCAATGTAGATGAACTAAAGACTTGGGAAATGTTCCCCCTTAGTATCTTTTTTGCTGTCAGATTCTTGTTTGACCATTATACCTGTACCAATGATGCAGGGTCTTCATCAATGTGGAAAAACAGGGCATAAGTTCTGCCATGCTAGAGAAGCAAATGTGTCATGGGGAGAAGAGAACAAAGCATGCACTGTATGCCAATGGTAAGACCTGGGGTTGGCACCAGTACTGCCTGAAGGTTTTTAGGCCTTGTCCTCCACTATTCATGTACACACTTGGGGAACATCAATGCAGGCACATGCACTAGGGGCTGAAGCCACACAGAATCTGTGTCTACTAAAACTTCTGCCTACCCACTTCCCACTGATTCTACTCAGGGAACACTGAGTCACAAAGAAGTTTTTATGTCGTGTTAGAAAAATGTCCACATTAGGCCACTACTCAGGTAATAAGGACGTACTGGCTACTATCTCTTAAAACAAAGCATAGAGAACATGCAGCCTCAAAGAGGTGTTATTTCAAACACAAAAACCAACCAGAACATTCAGGAGATGCAACCTAGAACCTAAATATCGTGGTTTAACAATAATCAACCAAAACCAGTACATTAACTTAATAATGCATTCTTGCAAGCTGGATAATTGAGAAGACTGCAGAAAGATCCAGGAAACAAAGTACCAAAGTCAACATTTCTGAAGAAAACTAATGAAATGGTAATATAAGTAGCACACCAGTGTTTTTGAAATTGAGTGAGCTTAGAGAGGAGACAAACTGAAATTTGCCAACTATCCTTTCGTTCTTGAAGAGCAGGCATCCACCTGGTAGTTCTTTCAAGCTCTTTCAAGGTTAAACAACTTGTCTAAATACATGCAGTCTGTAATCTAGCAGAATACATTACACTGCACTTCACACTTGCACTCTTGGGCAGCATATATTGGTTCAAGTGTGCATCCTAAAGAAACTGCTGCAGTGCTGCAATGCAAAAGTGGATTTATCTACAAAGATAATCTGTACTTCTCCCAAGGTGTAAGTTTAATTACACTGTTGAAAAGGAAGTTTTGCATCAACTAGGGCTAATGAAGTCATTATTCCAACCAAGTAAATAAAAACTCAAGTATATCTTGTATAAACAGCTGCTTTTCCATATCTCAGTCTTCTTTCCAAAGACTCTAAACCTCAAAAGATTTAAATGCCCTCCTAGTATTTATAGCATTCATACAAACCTGGACAAAATGCAAATACTAATACATATTTTTTTGGATGTAGAATCTACATAATTATCAATCTCAGTTCCTACTCACTAGCAACATCAGCAATGGTTTCTTCTGTCTTTATTTCACAATGTAATAGAACTGCAAAACATAAACTGAGAGATGACTACTTAGAAAATGAAAAGATGCAGAAACTCTCCCAAACCAACATACCTGTTATTTTGTCCCTGACAAGCTTACAGGATTCTATGTCACCAATGCTGCCAAACAGACTTTTGAGTTCTTCTTGTGTCATGTTCTGTGGAAGGTAGTTGACTATTAAATTGGTCTTGCTGTCTTCTGTGTTCCCAGAATCAACTGGTGATGAGCAATTATTTATGGTGGTTGAACCATGAGCTGTGTTATTGCAAGTTGGTCCATTAGACAGTTGTGTTTCCATGGCAGCAATTACCTGCTGAAAAACACAGAAAACAAGAACCATCAAAATTCGTATTTCACCACTGATGAGGATAGTTCAGACAAGATTCTGAAAGACAAGAGGCTGAAAGACCTGTCTCTCTATGAAGAAGTGGTATGGCCAGGGCCATATACTTCCTTTATATGCAAAAAAAAAAATGCCCACCAATACAGAACAATTTCAACTATTAAGCAAGGCAATACTTCAAAAACTTATTTAAAAGTTGTCAAATCTTCTAGGAGCTTTCTCAATGAAGTTGACAATCAAAACTTAGATTCCATCCTCCCCCACTCCTCTATTTAGCGGCATAGCAGCACTTGTAGTACAGAAGTTCCCAAGCAGAACTGTGGCCTGTTGCAAGGGTTGTCAATTCTATTAATTTACAACTGGTAAGTGAAGTTGTATGAAATGTAGTTCTTAAACAGTATTCGGTCACTGGGATGGAAAACAACCTTCCTTGATGACCTCTATGTCAACCTTCTATTACCACAGGTTGGAAGTAGGTTTCTAAATGTTTTTATTTGATTAAACTGACAATTTCTGGTTCTCACTTCTTCCCTTCCTTGCACACTGAAAACAGTTATATTTGATACTTTAACTATTTAACTATTTTAGTAAATACTTCTACACATCAAAATAAGGGAGTGATCACCACTGCAGGAACTACTGTGTTTCACTTTTAAGTAACTGACTGCTTGACTGGCAGACACAGCACAATCATTTGGAGAAGTGTCAGTACTCGCCCACAAAGCTACCACATGTACAAAATGCTCTCTGCCATCTCAGTCAGTCAATGTATGGTAAAAGCTGTTAAACAGAACGTTTTTAATGGCAGCCTAATAATGCAAGACTTGGGCAGCCTACTCTGTTTGAGACCAACTGCACAGGGCAACACCCAACTAGAAAAGTCTTACATTAATTCTCCAGCAATAAACATTTCAATACAGAAGCAAGACTCATCATGAAGTTTTACTAAAAAAAAAACCAACAATCATTTACATCTACCTTAATACTTAAAATTTCTAGAAGCAGTTCTCAGACAAAAAAGTCTACTGTAAATTCACAGTGTAATGTCAGGACCTTTGGAGGTTCTGTCTTGCTCAAAACAGCATATGCAATCAATGCACACCTAAACAGCTGATTAGTTCAATTGTACTCAGAGAGTGCAAATTTTAATTTCTAAAAACATGAAAGAGGGTAAGTTGAGTGTCTGTAACTACAATATTCCTGGTAATACATTTCTATGTTCTGCATACAGAAGAATTTTCCAAGAGGTTACTTCAGCACAAGGCAAAAAATGGAAGATGCATCCATTAAGAACACAGTATAAAAATGTGATCTGGTTTTCCTGAGGAGCTGCAACCAGAACAACATTTTCTTCCCTTGTGACAAACTCCAAGGGGTAACTTGCTCCTGGCACTGTGATGAAACAAGTCTGTTGAAAAGATTAGAAAGTAGATGATGCTGATTAAAGTAAATTGCTTTTCAGAACACTTGAATATCTGGCAGAGTGAGAAGCCACAAATTCTGAGCTCTGACTGAGGCTCTTTAGGACAGCCTTTTTTTTCTCAAATGTGAAGTGTTCATACATCAAAATTAGCAGGATTTAGCAAGGACAACAAACAATCCTCACTTAAGTGCACATTTACTTTCATGTTCAGGTGGTAAGAATAAGAACGTAAGCCAACATTCAAGTGAACAGCTGCAGTAGCCTGTGTGCTGAAACTACAGCTTTTCTCAGCTGTAGAACCATCTGCTCTGGATAAAGATACTAATATGTTTTACAAAGAATGCATATTCAATTGATAGGTTGAATACAACTGTTCTTAACAGACAAAGCACTTCTTCAGCAGTTACTAAATATTTTCAACCCAGAAAATAGTTTAAGAGATAAATTTACAGTTTTCAAACAATTTCTTAGAATAACACTAGCAAATATACTTTTAAAATAATAATCATAAATACACAGTATACAGGTTTTTTTAAGTTACTGCAATTTAGTATTCAGACCATACCAAAACCATTTTAGTGCAATGCTACTCTTCAATTATCCACTGCGTGTTTTGAATTAGTACTAAAATCTAATTGACCTTAGAAGAAAGGCAAGTCACTGCAGTATAATTTCTACAGGAGATCACCATATTATATAAAAGTTGACATAATACACCAGTGCACTCTAGGATGTCACAGAATAGGGACACAAACTACAGCCTGTAAGAAAACATGGAATCATAGAAACGTAATGGGAGATTAAAAGAGTTTGGTATGGCCTCAGCACTATAAACACGTAAAAAAGTAGCCTACAGAATTTAAGAAAAATCCCACAGACCCCAGTCCAAGGCTCTGCTGCCCACGAACCACTTCTAAGCAGAGAAGCCACATCACACAGTCTGACTGCCATGTTAGTTTGGAGTTGCCGTCTGCAATATGGACACAAAAAGTACCGTATGTTAGATTAACAAGATAACGCAACAAATAAGTTTGTACAAATTTACAGTAATTGCATTTATATTCCCAGCACGTCCATGCAGTGTGGCTTAATTGGATTTGAGGCAATTCCAATCTAATCTTTCCAAATTCAGTCCTAAAGTTACTATTCTCACATGAATTAAGATGCTTATTTAAGAAGATTTAACATAATGCAGTCTGGTTACCCCTGCATCTACCCTGGAAACTACCTCCAGAAACACATCACACCTAATAGGAACTATACAACACAACAAGTTTGTATATCTTCAAGATTGAAATAAGAAGAAAGAAAGAAAACATTGAGTCCATTTTCCATTAGCATGTAGGATGAACACGCAGCATTGAAAATCAGCTCCGGTTACATGCCTTTCTCAACCCACAAAACATACACAAGGCAGCAAACTCCTTCACTAGAACCCAGTTTGCTCTTAAGATCCTAGGTTTTAAAAATTAAAATCATGCGCACACGGTATTTAGTAAGGTTCCCTACAATAGCTGTTTAAGAGTTCCACTGGACATACAAGTGGCAGTAGAGTTAAGAATATTTCAACTGGAATAACTGCAGCAAAATATGCAAGAGATAATTCTTCCTAAGGGTGTTTTTGTCCCCAAGCACATTGCTGTTGGTTTTTAAATACATCATTGTAAACCCAGTTGGATTTGAATTGAACAGTGCTAGGAGGATACCACAAAAGCTAATGGGCGATTTCCAGATGATTACAAGTAGTCTAGATGTTGACTACAACAACAATACTGGAACAAATAGGAAGACTCTTGACTGTTCCCACAGTTTGAGACCGGTGTAAATACAAGAGATCCTTCTTGGCCCTGGGTAGCAGATGAGGCAAGTGTCAACTTGATAAAAAAACAATGCTCAGATTTTGGAAGGCTGCTGCATCCAAGGTTTATAAACACATACTTCAAAACAACTTTCCCTGTTTCAAAACAGTGTAGATTAGTCTTCATTTCAGTTTCTTACTGAAGTCAATATGGTTAGTTGACTTCAAGTCTGGTCTTTACTTCTAACTTAGGCTGATAAAGACTTTTCATCATAATTTTTAATGCAAAACACTTTGGCATTAGCTGCAAGCTTGCAAGCCATTCTTTCTGGTTTCAAAAACAATGCATTGTTAGCAGAGTATTGCAAGCCTATTAGATGAGGAAAACTTAGTCTCTTAAGATCAGACAAAATTTATTAAGGACAATGCATTAAAGTAGCAGTCTATAAAATTCTCTGTCCTACACAGACTGTAATGATGTGCACAGGATGGCTCTCAGCAAAGCAGCATGACCTGATAAAATTACCTGCTTCTTGTGAGCCATGGGTTGCAGGTAGAAAAGGCCCAACAGAACAGCTTACTCCTGTGCACAAGACTTCAGTGTACTCCTACAGAGGAATCGCTGTGCCCTTCAGCACCGCACCTCTTACCAAAAAAGCAAAGGTCACTTCCCATTTGAGCCACTTCTAGTTTGCATAACACACTTATCTTCACTGAAGTGCTGTACTCACATCAATGTAGAAATCAATTCTCTCACTACCACACCACTACATCTCAAAACGAAATTTTGCTCTACTAATTCTTTCACACTTTTTGACACTTCCAAAGCTGTACAGAATGTACTTTTACATCCAGTTAAAAAAGTTAGGTGTTCTTACCCTTTTATTTACACTTCTACCTCACCAGATAAGAAAACTACAGGACACAGCTAATTACACTAAAAAAAACCAGTTCTTCAAAAATCAGCTTCCAGTTAACACTGTACTTTAAGATTAAAATAGCAAATAAACCTAGAATCTGAGCTATGAATAGTCTCAAAAAAAAGTTTTAAAATACTGAACTACTTAAGAATCACTAGAACCATTAGAAAAAGCTAATACAGCTTTTGACTATTAGCTTCAGAGACAGACCACACTTCGGATCATTAAAACAGCTCAGCAATTACTGCATTCAAAAATTCAGAAATCAGTAAGTTCAGGAAACAGGGCTCTACGTCTATTAAGGAAATAAAAGTTTCCCTTAAAATACATCCAGATTAAGAAGAGAACAATTAATTGACATTGGAAAAAGAAATCTGTTTTCTTTACAGTCCTGAAAGGAAGCAGAACTGAAGACTGAAGTTGTGCAGTTCAGCAAATTTCCCTTAAACATGCAGTGAATGGGAGCCATCTACCTTTCAATAAACTTACTTTTAATTCACCAAGCACAGTTAAGATTTTAAATTCAAACAATCCTAAGCACCGTGACATTAACTGAATAACAGTTTCTAATAAGCTGCAGTTCTAGTAAGTCATTAGTAAGGTTTGCCTAGCTGAGAAGAAACTAAGTTTTTAATTTTTTTGAAGATCAAAGACATCAGGAGTTTAAGAGCCATATGGTTTATGTGATTAGTTCTGGTTGCCATAGAACAGTTCCAGTTACATCAACAGTAGATTTTTGTATAAGAGCTTTAGAAAACAAAGCAGAATTTAGCAAAATGACGGCCATCAGTCACAGCGTATAATGATTTTCCCTTCAAAAAAGTTATTTTGGTATGTAGCACACTCAACTGCTCATATTTAGCTGAAAATGGAAGCCAAGGCTGGAATCCTGGCAGTATTGAGATAACTAAGCTCAGGTGACAAAACAGGTAAGCCTTCAACCACTGTTACCACCTCAGGTGCATACGCTAATGAGTATTCTTTAATGCAACACCTCTGGCCAAAGCCTGTCTACCACTTGTTTTGTGTATTATCTCTGTGTCCCTGTCACCAAGAAAAAAAAAAAAAAAAAAAAAAAAAAAAAAAAAAAGTGTTTCACACAGGTTTTACATACAAAATTTAGTTCTATTTATAGATACCACACCAAAATGGTTCACAGATGCCTGCACTGTTTAAGCTATGTACTTCTAAATGGTATTATCCCAGAACCCTGAATCTAAGAGAACAAACACCAAATATTACAGGCCTTTGCCTCCTCCAGAGTTGCCACAGTTCAGAGGCAACTGAAGCTGCACCATGAGATGCTTCCAAGCCTCAGGAGTCACAGTTGATACAACACTCTTGATAAAACCTAAGAGATCGTAAACATGCTCCTAGAGAATGACACACCAAGAGACCTTCAAACACACTTTAGAGTCATTATTTGACCTTCTTTCTCTTGCACAGACAGTGCAATGGACGCACACAAAAATTATCACATGTTGCTATTTGGATAAGCAGGTGTTACAACCAGAACTTTAGGTTCAGTTTGTAATACAGTTATCTTTTCTTAAATTTAAGTACTTGGTGTGTTTTACAGAGGATTTATACCACCTACTTTGACTTACAACAGTAAGGAAGGTAATTTAGCAAGGATAACCTGTTTATTGTAAAGGCACATACAGGCCTCTGGGCAGCTCTCCAGTCAACAACCTCGTTGTCAGAACAAAACTACTCACTCTATCACTTTTCCTGTAGGGCTGTGTCAAGGAGACTCTGGTGGTTACTCTGATATCCACACAGTAACAGCACATACTGTGCTTTGTGAGTCTATATGAAGAGGCTAAACTGTGCTTTCACTTATTTTTAAAAGAGCACAAACCAGCATTTCTCATTTACCATCCCTTCCCTCTTGCTTGTCTACTCATTTGTGTCATTTACTCCATTACACTATTGAAAAAAATAGTAGATTAACAGTAAAGTACATCTTGATCTATGCAAACATGAAAAAATTTCATGATGCAATACTGACCAAAGACCAAAAAAACCTAAAACTCACAGAAAATTTCGAATTAGCTTCTGATAATAAGGTGGTTTCAGAATTTTCAAAACCACTTCCAAAGTTACTAATGTAAACACATGCAACCTGTAAGTCAAGAAAGCACAGCCGTCCTAAACAACAAGAAAACCAACATTCATAGCCTAAGGTTAAAAGAGAAACCTTTTCATACCAGCTCCTGTATGAATCACTAAGCAAGAAACACTACTTAACACTTCTATACCTTGGCCTGAAATGCATGGTGAGAAGCTGAGTGAAGAAAATATGAAAGACAGATAGAAAAGAAGATGGGATGTAAATAACATTACAATAAACCCTTGTGATTGGTGCTGCAGAAGTTAATCTGCAGAAGCTTTCAGCAAGGATGAAGAGGCAGCCAGACAGACTTGCCCTTTCCAGGTAGGCAATGAGAAGAAAAGTGGACTATTGCAGGCAGCTAAACAAGAAACAGGCATCAGTACAAGCATGAGTTCTGCTATCAGGAAAATAAATTCATCATCCTGGTAACTGCAATAAAATGAAAGAAGGAACAAAGGGCAAGTTAACTACTGAAAGTAAAAATTTGTAAGGAACACTAAAAATGTACATGCAGACTTTAAAAGTCTCCACACAGTATGTACTGTTTTAGAAACTCTTGGTATTCCTGTAAAGCTCCTAAGAACCTATGGCATACTCTAAACAATGCTGGATTAATGCTGTTGATATATTAGGAAAAAAAACAAACATATGAACAAGGTTAGGATATTGCTTGACAATGTACCAATCCAGAGACCATGCAGATCTTCCGTCTGATTGCAATTATTAGCTACCCTGTCAGTTGGGGTAAAGGAAGGGAAATGCATAAAGTAATTAACTTAGAAACATCAACTCTTACTAGTGTTCTGTAAACAAAACAAACATTTGCATTCTCTTAAGTGATCAGTTCAAGTGAAACTTCAACAAGTAAAACCATTTTTATGTTCCTAATTATTCAGCTCAATTTAGACACTCAACCAACTTCTACCAACAGAGCTTATTCCCTGAGTAAGAGAGCATCAACAACCACAATTAACTGGCTTATACACAGGATGAAAGAACACAGCATAAAATCATACTCTTCCTTTTATCGCTCTCCCTCTTTCATTTAGAAAAAGTTTGGAGCCAGGTAAGGGGAAACAATTACTTTTGCTAGATTCAAAAGCCTAATCAGATGTCATGTTGGGCCTGT